GGCAGCCAAACCTGATTTCTACACCTCTTTTCTGGTCCATTGTCCCCTTCAAAAGCTAGGTTTGCACACTGCGCATGCGCAGATGCATTAAAATGAATGGACAACAACCGTGCATGCGCATTCAGATGGACAACAGACTTGAAAAGAAGTGTAGTTCTCATTTCTAACCGGAAGTGACTTTTTTCTCAAAATGGCCAACTTTTAGTGTGGCAGTGCCACTTGCCACTTGTGTACATGTGGAACAGGAAGTTTACACACATTTTATCTATATGCCACTTGACTGTGTAATTATTAATACATTAAATTGCATCAAACTGGTGAAAATCAAGAAGAATTGTTATGTTTGATGAGCTGTATTAGTTTTCTGCTGTGATTTAGCTGGTCCTAAATAGCTTATTCTCATGGGGAAACACCAGAGATCATGATGATGCCTTTCTCTTCCTGTTTCTATGTTTAGTTCTCTTGGGAGAGGTACAACAGATCGGTGACATCGGTCACTTTCATGGATTCACTTTGGTGGATTTTTGCTCTAAGTGATATCTATGTCAGGCAGAACTAACCAGTCTATTCTCATGAAGCACGACCTTGTGCATAGTTTTAATCACAAAATAAAACTGGGGTAGCTAAAGCTTGCTTGCAGGAGGGAGAATGAGATATTATCTCTTGCCACGGGGAGCACACTTGCTTAAAACACCTGCTTTTACAAAGCTAACATACTGTATTTTGTATCAAAGGATAATATAAACATGTGAGTATATTATAAGAGTCCAAGTACAGGTAAATGTGGAATTATGAATAATGTATTATTATTATTATTATTAATTGATCATTGTCATTATTATTCATTGATTGACTGTCTATAAATAGTCTGTCATTTTTGTTAATTATTATCTCTTCGTCTTTGACTTCTTCACCTGAGTTAATAAAAGATTGTTTGTTATTGTCAATTGTTTGCGAAATTTTTGTAGAGTACAGTGGAGGGCCTGCTGTACAAGACAACCCAGCGCAGAAGAGACTGAGCTATCGGAACTGAACTCACAGTAAAATAGCTTGCGGCACTTCATTCTTTATCGCCATGTCAGGATTTTTGTCCGCCTCTCACTGTCACGGAGGCTGTACCTGAATTATTACATTGATTTGAATGGGATCACATGATCAGTTTCCAATCCCAGTTACGTGAAAATGCATATTGAATCCGAACAAAAGAAATGAATACCAAACTGGATACTTCTATAAACAAAGTTAATGATAAATTCTAATGAAAACATAGCTGCTGGAATCTTCACCCACACAAGCACTACACCTTTTGCTTCACAGAAGGAATGGAGATAGACAAAAATTTTCAAAATAAGTAGGAAAGAAGTTGTTTATAGCAGCAAAGAGGCTCTTCACTGATTCTATAGTAGAAGTAGCAGCTCTAACTTTAAGCATAGACATAAGAACTGTTCATATACTTTTCTTCTATTTGTTTGCACTGCATTCTGCCAACCAGGGGAATAACAATTATCATAATATATCCTGTGTCTCATTGTAGATATGATAACATTACTAGTGACAAGTAGTGGGAGCAGTCAAACAGTTTGGGAATGACCTACAACTATTAAAAACAATTATTAATGTATAGTTGCAGCAAAGATCAAAGGCCTAACAGTTGTGATAAAACCCACAGAATACTCCCACCAATATACCGCAGTGTGATATTATAAATAGCACACTCATTTATTTAATGTGCAGCAGTGTGATATCAGTGATAGCAAAACTATTAAAAACAATTATTATTAAATACTATTATCACCATTATTAGTACAATGTGATTACAATACACTCCTTATAACAGACACCTCTACTCCAGCAGACATTACCAGGGGAGTGGCTTTATGTAATGAGAATCTTTCTTTATAATAAAATTTAATGATTAGTATCAAACAGAAGAGAGCAACGGACAATTGAATGATAGATAATGTACATCACTCTAGCTTAAATAATAATCACACAATCTAGAATGTTCTAGCAAAAACATACAATTAGTAGATATGTAAGTTTAGAATGCTCTAGAATCCTCAGGTCAATTTTCAATTATTAACCACAGGAATCCTATTACTGTCAACATGGTGTGCCAAACCAAACAAAAAGACCTTAAACAGGATGCCATTACTCTCAAACTAACAGATGCGCACCAAAACAGACATCTTAGTCCACTGTAGGATTTTAAGAAGTAATCGTAGAATGTCATAAAACTGCTGGGTATAGTCAAGAGGGTCCCACAATTTTTTTTAATCTCCATTTGACTCCACTACGGTATTCAAATTTCACTCTCATGCATTAACCATGAATTAACCAGTTCCTGGCAAATTAACTAGGTTGGTTTCAATGCATAATGCACTCATAAGATCCTGTTTCCAATTCTTTTCTATGTATACTGTCTTTTTCACTTCACTTGGATCATTATGTGTTCTGTAAATCCCACAGGTAGATGGAAATGGAATGGATATTCACTACATTATGTGTTCAGTAGTTCACATTATGTGTTCGATGTGATTTACTAGTCCCTGATTCTATATTATTTAAAGGAGCCTGACTAGTGACATCAGAAATGATGTCTTGCATGTACTTATGCATGTACTTTTGCTGGCCCAAACTCATTCCAAAATGTTCATGTGCTTTTAGTAGTAGCCAAGAATATCAATTAGGCTATTTACATGTAAGATATGCCAGTAATCAATTTCTCTGGATTTTTACATTATTTTTGAAAATAAAGGTCTTTAGTATAATTTTGAAATAAACAAAGTACACAGTAAGCTGAAATGCCCTGTCCACTCATAAAAGCTAACAGGAACATCTTCATTATCTGTATGCTCACCCTCAGCTCAAGGTATAGTCAGTAGTG